CTCGTAGGCTGGCTTCTTGTAAAGTGGCGTCGGCCTTTTTCCGGATTGTCCCGTTGACAGGGGGATGGGGGGGGGGAGGCTTGCGCTGTTTGATCACGTCTAGTCCCATGATTTGTGGGCGTTTTGGGTCATATCCTCTGGCCTGGGGTGGTGTTGGGCGGCTTCTCCTCCTTTGGGTGGTTTGGGGCTGGCAGGGCAGGCTTCTTCCCCCTTTGTTACATTGGATCATCTTTGGAGTGAGTGCACTCGGGCGTGGTCAAAATGGCCCCTGTCCCTCAGGTGGGTTTCTCACTTGTTTCCGGTGACTGTGCAGATCTGCGGTTCATTCTAGACTTGTCTCGTCTGAACCCCTGGATTCCTTGTCCCTCCTTTCAGATGACCACTCTGTCTCAGGTCTGACTTCTGTTGGATCCGGGTGCCTGGATGGTGTCCCTGGACCTCAGGGACGTGTATTGGCATGTTCTCATTCATCCGGGGTTCAGGGACTGGTTAGGTTTTGGTGTGGGGTGTCACTACTTTTGTTGCCTTCCTTTTTGCTTGAATCTGGCACCTCGTATATTCAGGCATCTTACCCGTGTTGTGGTGACCCACCTGGATCTGCTAGGAGTTCGGGTTCTGGCCTACCTTAACTGGTTGGTGTGGGCTCCAAGCCGGTCTGCTTGTCTGCTCGCCAGGGGGTGTGGTTCCTTTCCAACTCGCAGCGTTTGGGTTCCTAATGAACTGGCGGAAGTCCCATCTGATTCTATCCATTCGGACCTGGATGGTTCTTGTTTGGGACTCTTGGACCACTTCCATGTCTCTCCCTCTGGAGGCATTGCCGCGGCTGTGGTCCAGCCTTCAGCTGTTTCTGGGGGTTCCCGGGTCACTCGGCGGTTGCTCGAGGAGTTGTGTGGAAGTCTGAACATCGCTGAGCTGGTTTACCCACTGGGTCGGGGTTTGGCTTGGGCATCTGTTCTGGTTCCTTCATGGATGCCCCTTCTGCTTCTCTCGCGATCACTGGGTTCGGCTTCCGTGCAGACTTGCGTCAGTTGCTGCATTGCAGGCTTCCTCGTTTTTTTTTTGGGGGGGGGGGGTTTGCCTTGGCGTCTACCCGAGCCCTTTCTCGATGTGTTCACGGACACATTGTTTCTTGGCTGGGGCTTTGTGACCAGTACTCACCCTGCCCGGCCATGGGCGGTGGGGTCTGTACTTCCGTCGAACTCACAGAACAGTGCAGAAGTTCACAGTGGTTTGGTTTTCATTTCGAAGGGTTCGGGTCACTCAAGGTTTGACTATCTGGCTTCATTTGGACTGTTCTCTGGTGGCTCATTGCCTGAACCATGGGGGTTCCCTTCGGTCCTTGCCTCTTTGGGGCTGGTCGCTTCGAGTGTCTTGTCGACTGGTTTCTCGGGGATTGGCTTTATGTGGTTCATATCCGGGGAGTGTCCAACGTCCTGGCAGATGGCCTGTGTCAGTTCATTCCCCTGTCCATGAAATGGATGATCGATGCCGACTCCTTCAGTTGGTTCTGCCGAGCGTACAAGCTCCCGGAAGTGGACCTCTTCTCGTCTGCGTGGTCTCGGTGTCTCCCGATATTTTTGACACCCTTACCCGACTGAGGAGCCTTTGAGGTGGAAGCCTTTTGGCAGGACTGGTCGAGGTGGGGTTACCTGTACCTCTTTCCCGGTCCAGCTGTTGCTTTGGATTCTGGCTCAGTTGGAGACTTCCACGGGGAGAGTAGTCCTCTTGGCCCCTTGGTGGCTGGCCCCAGCCTTGGTGTCTGAACCCGGTTCAAACCCTCCTCTCTGTCTGCTTGCTTGGTGTCTGAACCCGGTTCAGACACCAAGCAAGCAGCACCTGAAACTCGTAGTTTTTTTTTCGTAGCTCCGCCTCTCCAAGCAAATCAGAACGGTCCGGTACACAGCTGGTTCGGTCTGTCTTCTCCCCCTCCACTCTTCGCATCTGGTCTTTTTGATGCAGGTTTATCACCATTTGTATCCATTTGTATGGTGATGAGGTGACTTCCTTGATGGTGTTCCACATAAGAGCTTTGTCTCGGCGACAGAATGAAGTTTCCTGGCGTTCTTTTTGCCATTTTCTCTCTTCATTAGTTGTCTTGTCCTTTCTTTCTTGGCCTTTTCAGGACTGTCATTTGATGCCGAATACTGTCACCTCATATCATGTGGCGCTGGTGGAGCGCTCTAGCGGTCGGTCGGGAGCAGGTCGGCCGAGCGGACAGCACGCGGGGCTTGTGATCCTGTGGTCCTGGGTTTGATCCCAGGCACCGCCGAGAAACAATGGGCAGAGTTTCATTCACCCTATGCTCCTGTTACCTCGCAGTAAAATAGGTACCTGGGTGTTAGTCAGCTGTCACGGGCTGCTTCCTGAGGGTGGAGGCCTGGTCGAGGACCGGGCCGCGGGGACACTAAAAGCTTTGAAATCATCTCAAGATAACCTCAAGATAGCATGCGTTCAGGGCAAATGTCACATCCCCCGTTCCGTAAGCTTTCTCGTGCTTTGTTTCACCTCCGGCCTGCTCCTACGCCACCTGAGCCATCCTGGTCCTTGAGCAGGGTGCTTTCTTGTATCTCTTCTCCTCTGTTTGTGGTGGCCCCTTCGGTTCAAGATTGTTTTTCCAAGGCTCTCATTCTGTTGGGTCTCAGAAAGCCAACAGTCGAGTTGGTGAGCTTCATGCTCTCCTCTGGTGCAGGGGTTTCTGCTCTTTTGATCCTGGTAATTGGTTTAGTTGGTTGCAGTTTCCTCCTTCTTTTCTGGTGAAGAACGAGACAGCTGCTTTCCAGAGGGGTCCTTGGGTCATTGATGCTTGGTTGGACAGGCCAGGGGTGCATCAAGTGTTATGTTCGGTTGCAGCTCTTCACTGTTACCTGCGCGCTTCGGCTTCTGGGGCCGGGAATGCGCTTTGGGTTGACCCGGTTTTCCTTATTACCTGTTCCAGGGCTTGGGTCTCCCAGGTCATCCGCAGGGTTATTAAGTCTAGCCAGCCTGCGGTCTATCCTCATGCCCATAACGTTCGTAAGTTTGCTGCTTTGCCTGCTGTCTTCAGCAACATGTCTTGGGCTGATATTCAGGTGCGGGGATTTTGGAGATCGAACAGGGTCCTGGCTGTGCATTATTTGGTCAACATTGCTGGTCCTGGGCGTTCATGTGTGGCTTTGGGTTGCAGGTTGCAGCCAGTTGTCTCACCTTAGAGTTGAGGAGGTTGTGGCAGCTACCTTCCTGGTAAATACCTCTTTTCCTTCTCTTTGGTTATGTAGCTCCAGGAAGCCCCTCTCCCACAGAAAGCCAGCATTAAGTGTAATGAAACGCCATTTTCAGGGTGAGCCTCCGAGACTCCCTGGCACCCCTTCATCCCTCGGGTCGGCGGTTTTCACATTGCATTGATGCTTAGCCTCTGAACTGGAGTTGCTCTGTAGCTGACTGGGGGTGGGGGTGGGTCTGCGGCTCCCTCCTTCCCCGCACAGGGAGGGAAGGGCTGCATGGACGAGTGGCGCGGTGGCGAGGTGTGACGTTTGCTTGTTTCCTTGAGATTTGAGGGAGTTTTGCTTCTCTGTTCGGTTTTTGGTTGCAATTTTCTTATTATGTAGGGGTCTGTTTTGTTATGCCTACCTTTCTGTGTGCCTAACCCCCAGTCAATAGTAGACAAGGAAAACTTCCAACCACAGGGTTTTTCCAGGGCTATTGCTCCCTGTGCCTCTCAGAGGGGGCCAAGTTCTGGCTCGTGGTCCCCGATATGCTGAACTCCATTGACTAATGCCTTGGTGTAATGCATTGCATATTAACCCGATATCTTCAGGGAGCCTCTGGAGCTCACCCAGAAAATGGTGTTTTCATTACATTCAACACTGAATTTTTTATGTGTACAGTGGAACCTCTATGTACAAATCCTCATGTTACTTACAAATTTTTTGAGTTACGACCCCAATTTCGTCGGAAAATTTGACTCGACTTGCGATCTTTGCCTCGACTTGCAACTTTCTTGATACACGTGTGGGTCGACTGAGAGTGTGGTGCACTTCAGTTTACCAGTGTCTCTCTCTTAGTGACGATCATGCTTGCATTCTTTGAAAAGAATTTCATTGTTTTTCTGTTTTTTGGGTTTTTGAACATAAAAGTACAGTACTGTACTGTACGGTAATTATTATATATCAGGCCTGGGTCCCAAGAAACTCAGTGGTAAGGTTCAACCTAAGAAAATAGTTAAGTAAAGGCAGCAGAGGCTGTCCCTTCCTCATTAAGAAAATGTGTGAAGGTGAAAATGAAAAATATGACTCACTGCAAACTTTTGTAGAAAAAACTCACCCTGATGAAGCTGTAGCAGGCCGTTTCATTGACCTTTTAAATGATAATGTGATATCTCACTACAGACAAGTGTTAAAATGTAGGGAAAAACAAGTGTCTTTTGACAGATTCTTAGTAAGACAAGCAAGCAGTGAGCCACAACCAGGTCCTAGTGGTATGCAGGTAAAACGTAGGAGAGAGAGAGTACCCTAGAAAAGTCGTTGTTGTTGTTTTAGATTTAGCTACTCGGAACAAAGTGTCCATGTAGCACGGGCTATGGTGAGCCCATCAAAATCATCACTGCCTGATGTTATAATGGAAGGGAACTCCCCTTCCAAACAGTAACATCTTTCCTCCTCCCCCCTTCCTCACTGTCTTCCATACGCCAACAAGTCATCAATAAAATTAAGCTATAACTTGTACATACTATAGTACAAAATGTGCATGTGTATTATGTATGAAGTGTATTTTGAAGTTAATAGTGGAATGGATTAATTTAATTTACATTACAGTATTTCTTATGGGAAAATTCGTTTCTAGTTACGTATTTTCGAGTTACGACCCGTCTCTGGGAACGGATTAAATTCGCAAGTAATTACCTAAGTGTAATTACCTAAGTGTGGAGGTATCACTGTAATTGCAAAGTTAGTGTTGTACTGTATATGGCTATGTTACTACTATTGTATTTAATATTTTCTGTTAAGCACTGAATATTATTCCAGGTTTCTCTGTTAGATGATGACTGTGATGAGGGTGTGGATGATGGTGGGGATTTGCTGCCGGACACATCACCAACACATCCCCACCCTCACACTCCACCGCCCACTCCACCAGGAGCACGTGGAGTGTCTCCTCCATCACCATCAGCCAATTTCACTCACCACCAAAGTGGCCCACCTCATGGTCCAGGGCCTGGAGGAGGAGGAGGTGGGGGGAGTGGAGGTGGAGGGTTGAACAGCCAAGTGGGCCATAGTGTGTTGGGTCATGGTGGATCAAATCATTCTGGGCCAAATCACAGCAGCCAAGGACATTTGGCACAGGGTCAGGGGCGTTCCAAATCCTTGGAGTTACACCAGCAACGCTCAACAGACTCAGACAAAGACGCTCCACTAGTTACCTCGGCCAGACATAGGGTGAGTTGAGCTTTATTGCTGTACTGTATATATTTTAAATTTTGTGTAGTATCATGGGGCCTATCAGTGTTACATACAATTTTGTCTCTAGTAACAAAAAACAATGGCATTTATGTTTGTTTTCAGTGGCATTGTTAAACATGTTTTTTGTTTTGTTCTGTATATCTATTTGTTCTGTATAGTTTTTAATGTTCTGTATATCTGCTGCCTTGTTGGTTTTGGTAATTAAAAAAATATTTTAGTAATGTTCTCTGTTTACTAACCTGTGTACTCTGACAACTTCCCTTCTTTGATGTGTAGACTTCATGTAGAAACTTCTTAAGACATTTCAAATGCTTGAAATATTTAAGCTTAAAATGCTTGTTGAATATCTGTCGATGATTCTGAGGATCAACGTTCCCGTGGTCCAGTCTTTGACTAGGTCGCCTGGTTGGTGGTCTGGTCATCCAGGTTGTTTCTATGTTGCTGCTTGCAACCTGACATATGACTTACAACCTGATTGATCAGGTTACCTTTGAAGGTGTTTATCAAATTCTCTTTTGAACACTGCAAGAGGTCAGCCAGTTATGCTCCATATGTGCAGAGGGAGCGTGTTGAAAAAATCTTGGGCCTTTGATGTCGATAGTTTTCTCTCAGCATGCCTATTGCACCTCTGCTTTTCAGTGGGGCTATTTTGCACAACCTGGCATGCCCACTGGTCTCATGTGTTGCTATTTCAGTGTGCAGAGTTGGAACCAATCGTTGAAGTATTTTCCAAGTGTAAATTATTATATATCTCTCCTGCCTGTGCTCTAGGGAATATAGATTTAAAATTGTTAAGGGATTTCAATAATTTAAATGTTTTATTGAGTAGATTCTAGCAGTAAAATATATTTGCATACACTCCAGGTTAGCAATTTCTCCAGCTTTGAATGGGGTTATTAGTGCATAGCAATATTCCACCCTAGAGAGCACTGGTTTCTTAAAAAGTTATATCATTGGTGTGGCATCTCATTTGAAAGGTTCTTGTTATTCAGCAGGTCATATTTCTTGCAGTTGTGACAACTACATTGTTGTATTCTTTAAAAATTAGGTTTTCTAGCGTGATTACACCTAAATCTTTTACATTTCTTTTTCTTTCAACAGTGTTGTTCGACCGTATGTGATTTCTGTTTTAATATTTTTGTTTTTCCTTAGCATAGTACAGTAGAAAGTGAAGGGACGACGACGTTTCGGTCCATCCTGGACCATTCTCAAGTCGATTGTGTGAATGACTTGATACACAATCGACTTGAGAATGGTCCAGGACGGACCAAAACGTCGTCGTCTCTTCACTTTCTAGTGTGTGATTTGGTCAACATTTTTCAACCCACGTTATTGTGACTCCTCACCTGCATATAGTACAGTAATTGGAACTTATCCTTATTAAACATTATAAATTTTTCTGTGGGCCATTGAATGACTTGACTAATATCAGATTGAGGTTTGCTGTGTCGTTTATTTTGTCTACTGTCATGAAAATCCTAGTGTCATCTGCAAAGGATGATTCATGATCTAGTTCGAATCCTTATCTTTGCTGATATGAAGATGAGAAAAAGTTTCGGAATGAGTACAGTAACTTGGGGACTAAGCTTGTCATGGTGGATGATCTAGATTTTACTTTGTTGATTATACTCTGGGTTCTGTTCATTAGTAAATTAAAGATCCATCTCCCAACTTTGCCAGTAATTCGTTTTGTGCACATTTTGTCAACAATAACACCTTGACTGCCTACCTACCTGTCGAAGGTTCAGGGGATCAATGGCCCGATCTCTAACCAGGCCTCCTGGTTGCTTGTCTGATCTGTGTTTACCTGAGTTTAGCTGGGAGCCACTAACTCTAGTGGCCTTGACAAGGACAGGAAGCTGGCAGATTGTTGAAGGTCCCCCGATTTGCCGTGATGATCTTTTCCAGCTGTACTTTGAAAGTTAACAGTTTTAGCATTTAAGGCTTTGGCAGGTAGGCGGTTTCATGGGATAATAACCCTGTGGGTGAAAAAGCATCTTCTGTTCTCACTCCCATATTATGGCTTATTGAGCTTGAAACCATTGTAAGTTTTTGAGGCACCTCTTTTTAAAGGGGCTAGGTTCAGGCTCGTGGTTGGCATGTAGGCTGAAAAGAACTCTGCAACTGATGGCACTATATTAACATTGTAGCATATGGGAGCCACCATGGCTCACCCAAAAATTTGCATTTCATTACATTCAACACTGGTTCTTTGTTTCTTAAGTACTTGTACAGTACTGCAGTGTTTTCTCTAATTAGGTTATACACTACATAATGTTATCTTATAAAATATTTGATACTGTATAGTTTTATTTATTTGGTATTATTTTTAGCACCATGGGGGAAAGGCAAAACTCTTGCAACGAAGTCATGCTATGCGAGAGGACACCTCTCCTCCACCAGAACTGCTGGAGCCTGTTCAACCTTCCTCACATTGCAACGCTAACAGTGGTGGCAACACGCTCACAGTATCGTCAGGTGGAGGCAACCGCAGAAGACTTAAACATCAAGGGTCTTCACAAGGTTCTTTTGATGGCTCCTCTCCTTGTCTCTCCAGAGGTTAGTCAAAAATTCCAAATGTATGAAAGTTTTTATTCATATAGAAAAAATTGCAGTGTAAGAAAATGCACAACTGTATATTTTTAATTGCTTTTCCCTTCAGTAATTAACATTTTATAGGATTTGTTATAAACATTCTAAAGTAATGGTAATGTAATATTTTGGATAATTAAATTGATTAAACTATATAGATTAGGAGATTTCATGTTTTTCCAAGATATGTAAATTATATGCTCATTATATCAATACCATGTTTAATGCTATAAATGAAGCTTTGGATATAGTGAAGTGCCCTTTTTTGGTGGGCACTCAGTAGCTCTCCTTCATTCCTTGCCCTCCGTCCCATCCCAGATCTTTATCCTGATCCCTTCCAAGTGCTATATAGTCATGATGGTTTGGCACTTTCACCTGATAGTTCCCTTCCTTCCTTAGATTAGCTCTGGTGCCACCAAATCTTATCCAAACACACCAGGCCTCTGAGCCCTATCCATTGCCTAGCAGGAGTGAGGACCAGAATCTGGCTCACAGTATGAAGGAAGGAGGGGATCAGATATCAACCATGAAAATAGGGAAATCTCACCAGAAAGAATAGGTGCAACAAAACATGTAAATGCTCTTATTGTGATTGGCCTGACTGCCAACAGATGGCAGCCCAGGTCACCTAGGGTCTAAGCCAGCCTATCCCTTCACTCTGGAGCTACCAGTCCAAATCCCACAGAAGTAGAAAAACAGGACAGAAATGAGGAGTTATTGGTGGTCCACCAGAAAAGTGCATTGCTTACATTCAGTGTTTGAATTCTGAGAGGGACTCCTTACTAGCTTTCTGAGCTTATAGTTACTTACAATGGTGCCTCGATACAGGAGACCAGCTTTTCTGGAAAACAGAAAACTTGGACTGATCGTGTGGGAAAAATGGTGGGAGAGGGCACATGGCAAAGAACAGCAGTCATGTGCCAAATGCCCAAGTGCACACAATTTTAGCCGAACCTCTAAATTATAGACCCGTGTCATTAACAAAGGTGGTAGTCAAAACACTAGAAACAATAGTTAAAGCGAAATGGGTTGACATTCTAGAGAGTAATGACATAATAACGGATAGACAGTATGGTTTTCGAACAGGAAAATCCTGTGTAACAAATCTACTTAGTTTTTATGATAGCCACATAGATAATACTGTACAGGATTGGGTTGACTGTGTCTATCTGAACTTAAAAAAAGACTTCTGACAGTTCCACACAAGAGGCTGTTCTGGAAACTGGAACATTCTGGAGGAGTGACAGGGAGACTGCTGACATTGATAAAAAAATTTCTAACTGACAGACAGATGAGGGCGGTAATCAGAGACAATCTGATCGAGTATTTCTAGCAGAGTACCACAGGGTTCAGTTCTTACACCAGTAATGTTCATCATCTACATAAATGATCTACCAGAAGGAATACAGAATTATATAAGCATGTTTGTGGATGATGCTAAGATACTGGGGAAGATAGGAGATGTATAGGATTGTAATGCCCTTCATATTGATCTAGAAAATAGTACTTGGAGCATCAAGTGGCAAATGGAATTCAATGTAAATAAATGCCATGTTATGGAATGAAGAATCAGAGAAAATAGACCACACACACCTAATAAATTATGTGGAAAGGAATTACAGAACTCTAAAAAAGAATAAGACCTAGTGATGGTTTTGAATAGTAAGCTGTCGCCAGAGGAACACACAAGGAACATTGTGAGAGGAGTGTATGTGTCACTTTCCAACTTCAGACTTGCTGTTAATTATATGGATGGTGAAATACTACGGAAACTGTTTGACTTTTGTGAGACCAAAATTGGAATATGTAGCAATTGTATGGTGTCCAAATCTCAAAAAACACATAATAAAACTGGAAAAGGTGCAAAGGCATGCAACAAAATTGCTTCCAGAAATGAAAAAGAAGTTATGAGGAGAGACTAGAGGCATTAAACATGCCAAAACTAGAGGATAGAAGAAAGAGGTGATATGATCAGCACTTATAAAATACTACCGTCTGGCTGGCCAGCTGGCTGGGCACAGGAATCGACCAAATTGACAAAGAGGAATTCCTGAAACCAGCAACATAATGAACAAGAAGAACAGTTTCATGCTAAAGAAACAAAGGTGCTGAAATCACATTAGAAAGTTTTATTTTACAGAGTGGAAGATGGTTGGAACAAGCTAAGTAAGAAGGTGGTAGAGGCCAAAACCATCTGTAGTTTCAAAGCGTTATACAACAAAGAGTACTGGGAAGACGGGACACCAAGAGTGAAGCTCTCATCCTGTAACTACACTTAGGTATTTACTCTTACATAATTACTTAAATTACTTCAAATAAGGAACAAGAAGCCAGCATCAGAAGAACTGCAACTACTCATGTGCCTGAATATCAGCCGAGGACAAAATGACTAACCCCCATGCTGCTATGCTATTAATAGCCTTAAACACCGCTATGCGCAAGAAAACAAATTAAAACTTTTTTCATCTTTATAAAAGTGTTTATTTGTGGTCCCTGACCACAGGGAAATTATTATTTTTTAATTGTACTTACCAGTGACGTAAATGAGCCAAGAAATGTGACGATGACGTCATGCAACACTTTGATGTTGTATTATAATACAACTGTCATACATTCAACACACTCTCACATATTAGCGTCACAAGTATGTGCACATATATGTTTTATTTTACAGGAAATATAAAATGTTTTCTGATTTTTTCAATATATATACTCACTCAATATATGTTGTTGAATATGACCGAAAATGTAAGATTAATAATTCTAACACAAATTTTCTCAATATTTCTTATGTTTTTCTTCATTATCGATGGTAATTGAAATATCAATTCTCCAAAATTCATTTTTATTTATGGTCTGACGCCTGAACGCGTTTCGTAATTCTTATTACATTTTCAAAGACTTAGTTTACACATAAAAATTCATCGTACTTATACTCTTTTTGGGTGAGGTGATATGGCACAAAAGTTTTGGGTGAGGTAACAAACACAAGACAGAACACGAAACAATGGGTATAAATTGCATATGAAAACATAAGAATGGAAGTAACTGCAGAAGGCCTATTGGCCCATACCTCCTCTTCCAGCTTCTATGTTGGTTTGGGGTCTTGAAGTAGGTAGAATATAGTTGTGCATTAATTGGATGTTGATCCCAGCAATCAACAGCCAATTAGTGCACAACTATATTTTGCACAATTAATGCACAACTATATATACAGGATGCAGGACGCTGTCCTGCGTCCTGTGCACAGGACGTAATTCTACGTCCTTTCGTAGTTTTATGTAATAACGTAATAATCGTAGTAATACTCGTAATTCTATGGCCCGGGTTCGATTCCCGGACCAGGCAGAAACGAATGGGCAAAGTTTCTTTCACCCTGATGCACCTGTTACCTAGCAGTAAATAAATACCTGGGAGTTAGACAGCTGTTATGGAGCTGCTTCCTGGGGGTGTGTGTGGGAAAAAAAAATTAGTTAGTAGTTAATTAAAGTTGATTGATTGACAGTTGAGAGGCGGGCCGAAAGAGCAGAGCTCAACCCCCGCAAGAACAAATAGGTGAATACATACAGTTCACCTACATTTGAATTTTTCCAACGCTGCATTCGTGAAAAATCTGATAATTCCTCAGCAATGAGATGAGCCGAGCATTTGTTCATTTCCTGAACAATATGTTTCATGAGCGGCTCATCAAAATATGCGGTAAAAAAGTCCATTTCACACATTGTGTCACCATTATCAGGGAAAATGCTTGTAATTCCAACATCTTTAGCATCAAAGGCTGGAATTTCGTGAATAAAATCTTCCCCATCACTCCACAAAAATACACCTGGTGTCTTCCGATCGGCAACAGCAGCACCATGGTGAGGAATCTGTGGACCAGGAGCTGAACCCCGTGTGACTTGTACTTGGCACAGCACAGTAGGGGCGGGGAAGGGACGATGAGGGGGAAAAATCATTGAAGATGAGGAGGGCCTTTGTTCATCATTGTCTCCATGTGGTGCCATGCAGCGGCACTTGGGTAGGCGAGATGCTGCTGATGCAACAAAAGTTCGCTTGGCAACACAACTGGCATTAGCGAAAGGCGTCGTAAAACTCCTCTCTGATTCTAAGTCACTAAAACCAGGAAAATGATTCACATTCCTCAGACTCGTCGAGCAAATCATCATAATCTGGCAAAGTAACACAAACTATGTGGTTGGGTGTGAAGTGGAGTAGAGTGTGGGCGAGGTGGCATGGATGAGAAGCTAGGCCTCACCCTTGTGGCACCCACATGTTCACTCTCGATGTCGGTCATTTCAAGCTCTGGCTGTATGTAGATCAATCTCTGAATCATCAAAATCAGGTTCATCACCCTCCTTGAACAATTCCGATTAATTTCATCATCAGTCAATGCTTGTGTTGCACGCTACGTTGAATGCGGCCGACTGCTGGTACGTGGTGTGCTCGCCATGGTGTCTGCCGGGTAAGTAAGGCTTTTCCACAATGGCGGCCTATGCTGGATTTTTTTCCAATATGGCATTTGTTTACATTCGGCTGTAGCTGTACTATAGCTGCTCCTATCCCTCGCGGACCTTTAAAATTGTACGTGAGGCCTTACTCATACATGTATGTAAATCGCCGTTTGGTGAAAGTTCCTCCCTACATACTGTACATGTATAATTTGTGCCGTTTAAGGGTTAAGCAGGCCATGAGAATGAGGGAAAGGGATTTTATATATAGGTGAAGCTGTAAACCAAAATTAACTTATTTCCCCACTTAGGCTAGGACTACTTGCTCTAGGCTCCAATTCATTTTACAATACATATATTTCCTTTGATTATTAAAGTAAGGACGGATTTTGTTAGTCTATATTCTCGGGTATGGCTCACAAGTTCGTGCCCCTTACACTAATAGTCTTGTATTTAGTTAATGTTCCCGAGCCTCAGCTTTCTTGTGTGGTCTTGAGTCAGGTCTCTTGGCCGTGGTTCTCGTCTTTGTCTTGACTGCCTGCAGTTCTACCTCCTCCCTAGTAAGTCCCTATATTTTCTCCTTCTCTGTAGGTAGGTAGTTTTAGGGAGTCACAAGGAGACTTTCCCAAGAAAACCAGCATTCAGCATTTAATGTAATGAAATGCCAGTTTCTGGGTGAGCCCCAGTGGCTTCCTGATGCCCTCCTTCCCTTCCAAGACATTGGATAGGTAGGGGTTTGTGTGTACATCTGCTCCAGAACTGAAAGCTCAAACTTTTGGAGGGTGTGCCCCCCCTCCCTTCCCACATCCCTACAAACTAGTTGTGGAATGTTGGGTGAATGAGCACACACTAGTTTTCAGAGATTCAATAATTTGTTTGCATAGGAAGGGAAGTTCATCAGGTAGGTTGCGAGGGTTCAATCTCTTTTGAACCCAGCAGTTGCCTGTTTTGGTTCACTGACTTTCTGAACCTCTTTTTCCTGTGAGATGATGGATCATCATCATCTCCCTGTAGGGAAAGCAGGGATACTGGTCATACTGGTCCCCCAGTATGCCTAAGAACAACCCGGCTGTTGCGACTTAATAGTTGGGAGCATTCTCAGTTAAATAGCTACAGGGAGCCACCGTGGCTCATCCAGAAATTAGCATTTCAATACATTCAGCTCTGGCTTTCTTAAAACTAAAATTGTTACACCCCAATCAAGAGACCCTGCAAAAAAGAATAAACCTTATGCATTGCAAAGAAATAAGGTAATTTGAGAGGGGTCAGCTCATAGAAGGGGTACTCTGCAACCCCACATAAGATATTTCTGGTGATGCATTGGAAAATGTAAGTAAATGATGGGAGGGAAAAGGAACTCTAGTCAAAGTTGGAGTGAAATGGACAGTAAGGGCACACACAAAGTGGGTGCCACACAATCATAACTCATAAACAAAAACAGGCAAGTCATTATTCCTGGCAGAATATATTGTTTCATGGAAAATCATCATCACTTATCTATAAGTGAGATGTTGAAACTGGAACCCAGCAAGAGGCTGCAAGCTTTGGATAATCTATGCTTTCTGACTTCAGATCATTTTTTAAATACATGGATGGTGAAATATTAGAGAAATTGTTCATGACCTTTGTGAGACCAAAATTGGAATATGCAAAGGTTGAATTATACCCATATCTCAAGAAGCACATCAATAAACTTGAAAGGTGCAAAGATATGCAATTAAATGGCTTCCGGTATGTAACTTCCATAACACGATCTATGAAGTGAGGTTTGAGGTAATTACCTAAGTGTAGTTACAGGATGAGGGCTACCCTCATGGTGTCCCATCTTTCCAGTACTCTTTGACATATAATGCTCACATGGTGTATAAAGGTGTTAATATACCAAAGCTAGAAGATAGAAGGAAAAATATGTGATATGATCACTACAGTCAAAATATTAACAGGAATTGACAAATTGACGAAGAAGAATTCTTGAAACCTGAAATTTAAGAACAAGAGGTTGTAGACTCAAGCTAAAAAAACAAAACTGCCATAAAAACATTAGAACATTCTCTTTTTACAAACAGAGGGGATCAACAGTTGGAACAAGTTAAGTGAGAAAGTGGTGGAGACCAAAACCGTCAGTAGTTTGAAAGCATTATATGACAGAAAATACTGGGAAGCTAGGACACCACAAGCATAGCTCTCAGCCTATAACTTCACTTAGGTAATTACACTTAGATAATTGTCAAGCAGAAGAGTTAGGGGGCAGGCTGGATGTGATCCCAGGTGAACTGGGCTGCCAAATTTGGCGATCGGGTGCATCAGGGTTAGGGTATTTACTTAGGGAAAATGGATGATTGCTTTGTTTACATAAGGGGAGTGCATATTTTTCTTCAAGCAGTTACTTGTTATGTTACACATGTGCATTCTAGTGGGTTTTCCCAGAACACTGTCATATGATATTTTGAACTTACTGATGATTTTGGCATCCATCACCTTGTCACTTAACATATTCCAACCTTCTACCACTCTACTTGCAAAGGAAAACATTCTAAAAAAATTTAGTATGTTTTTTCCTTAGCTTGGAGCTATGACCTCTTGTTCCTGAAGTTGTAGGTTTTAAGAATTAATCTTTGTCAATTTTGTTGGTTTCTGTTACCATTTTGTATGCAGTGCTAATTTGTTCTTCTGTCTTCTAGCTTTGGTATATATAACACCTCTAGCCTCTCCTTGTAGCTCTTGTTTTTCAGTTTCAGAAGCCATTTAGTAGTGCTGTATGTCTTTGCACTTTTATCAGGTTATTGATGTGCTTCTTGAGATATGGGCTCCATTTCAACTACTGAATATTTCAATTTTGGTTTCACAAAGGTCATGCACAATTTCTCTAATATTTCAACATCCATGTACAGTACTGTATTTGAAAGCAATTCTGAAGTTGGAAAGTGTTGTGAAAGCTGTGGTTGGTCTCTGATGCCCTGCTTCCCTTGCCTCACACAGTGAGCCAGATTCTGGTCGTGGGTCCTAGTAGGTGACGGAATTGGTCTCAGAGGCCTGGTGTGCTGGGGTAAACTTTGGTGGCACCATAGCTACTGAAGGGATCCTCCCTGAAAACACAGTTAAGCGAACTTATATAAATCTCTTACTATTATTATTATTTTTGTTGTGATTTCATAGTCTTTGAAAACTGCATATATTATCTGCAGTGAATTTTTATTTGCTTGTATTTTGTTAGACCATTATTTGGGAAAATCATTGTTTAATGTTAAATACCTGTACATCATATTAATTAATTAGTGTGATTCTACTTGTAACTGTTTGTAATAAACAAACAAAAATTTGTCAGATTCATCAATGGAATATACAGACAGTAGTGGGGTAGATCTGCAGCAATTCATAATTCAAACTTTACACAAGAACCAAAAAGACCGAATGATGTTACTCAAGATTGAACATGAACTAGTCAGCCTTGTCAAGGATACCAAGTAAGTTCAGTAAATTTTACTTATCATGCGAGTCAAATAATTCTGGTGCTTCCAATTCTAAAGAAGTCAAGATTTTATCATTCCAGAATGCTTTACCCACTCTTTTGTAGTTATACTGTAACAGTAGAGGGAATATAATACTACAATAAACCATGGAGCAGTAACCTTATGAAGTTTCCAAGTTATTAAATTGAATTATAGCTTACGAAGTGACTGATTTCAGATTGTGTGAAATACTGTATAAACACTTCTGGAAATTGAAACTAAACAAAATGAGATCACAGTATTTACCACATTACTGCTGTATTATGCTCTAATCATATTAATTTTTCCTATCAGACGAACCCACCACAAGTTTCCTCCAATGTCGTCATACCAACGAATGCTTGTCCATCGGTGTGCTGCATTCTTTGGCCTGGAACATAATGTTGACCAAGCTGGTACTGCTGTTATTGTTAATAAGACCCGTAATACCCGCCTTCCTGAAACCCGATTCAGAGACCACTGCCGAGATGATCTTCTGGTACCAGATGAGCCGAAGAGATCAATCCTTAAGAGAGACTCATCATCGTTTGATGATGGATCGAATTATAAGGTTAGTTGTTTTTTGCAATGGCTGCCTGACATTAATTAAACTTGGTAATCCAAATGTACACAAACAACAAGAATTTAATTTTAACTTTTCTTGATTTATCATTGGAATTGCATCCATCACCAGTTTCCAATTATTGCTTTTCTTTTTTAGGCTTTCAGTTAATTATTACTTTTAATGCTTATCTTTAACAATAAATTTTAATGGGTACTGTAAATAGTGATACAGTATAGATCAAATCATGTATAAGGTTAGTTTTGATAATGCCTACTAGGCAAATTAATTTACTCTCTTAAATATACTTTACGGTACTGTATAGCCTAAATATAATTTTTTTAAGCTTACTGGATATTTCTTTGTACCAGCATCAAAGTCTTACCACTGCATCAATACTGTTGCATCATTGCTTTACTGCAATGTAACATAGCCTCACTTCAATTATTTCTGTCTTTAAATTTTCAGTTAAGTTAGGTTTTAATGGCCATCATACACACTCAGTTTTGATGTATATACAGTGGCACCTCTATTAACGAGTTTAATCCGTTCCGGCACCGAGCTCATCATGTGGAAAACTCGTCTTGCGAAACAACAACAAAAAAACTGTCATAAAAGGTGTCCGAGAACCAGCGGAAACGCTCGTTAATCGAGGAAAAGCTCGTTAGTAAAGACAAATGTTCTGCAAGTGGCTCGCTTGTTACTCGAAATGCTCGTAGATAGAGCCGGTCGTTTATCAAGGTGCCACTGTATTTTGAATAGTAGTTGTGTTTTATGTAAGTACTGTACTGCAAATGAAATTTTAGTCATAAACTGTTAATAAAAAATCTAATACCGTACAATACTGTACTGTAATGTTTAATATAACAGGTAAGTCAATTTGCTAAAATGTAAAGTGGTAGCCATGTGGTGTGAACTGCTTCAGACATGATAGTACAGCACAGTATATTACAGGACATGCTAATAATTCTAACTGCTTCAGACATATTACAGTACAGTATATTTACAGGACATGCTAATGATTCTAACTGCTTCAGATATGATAGTACAGTACAGTATATTACAGGACATGCTAATGATTTTACTATTTTCAGTTATTTTGTAGTGAATAAGTTATTGAGAAGCATAAAACTTATATAAAATATGTGCCATGTTCATTGTAATAGATTTGCTTTCATATAAATACAATGTTCAAACATTTTACATGTTGAAGTGATATTCCTATTCCATATTATGAATGACTGTTGATACATATTGTAACTGTGCAGTACAGAAATTAATCTAGAGTCAAATACAATTATCTGAAGATATTAAATGAACAAAATGCTGTACATAAGCTAACCTGCATAGCTATATTTATTAAGTATTATGAATTCAACTGAACATGCTGTAGACATGTAATCTTTAAGTAACAGATATTAAGAAAATTTAATGGTGTATTAATAAGTAAAGTTTGAAGAGGACCACTAATATTTGCTGTAAACTTACTGAAAGAATATTTGGGTGGCAGTCATACATTAGTTGAGTTTTTATTACACATGCTCTACTTGTACAGTACTGAGTAACCTATTTTTCCCAATGAATTATTCTGATTCTGAAACTTGACAAATTAAGCAGTTCTGACAATTTCTTGGTCTGTAATTATCTGTAATATTGGTTATTATAATATTATTAATATAACATTATCTAATATTGGTTTGCTTGGAAGATTGCTACATTGAATAAGCTAAAAATTTTGCCAAGTTAATTACTTCACCCACATGCAGGGAAAAAAAATTGCAAATTAATTTAACTAAATCCATAAATGTCAAATTCTTCAAATGTACAATAATCAAATATTAAAGTATGGAATATGTGTGAAACGAAACAATTGCAATAATGATATAAACTTTGTTTTCTATGCTTTTTATACATGCTTCCTTTGAAAACCTTAATAAAATATTTTTTAATGTTCATAGAATGACACCAGGGTTGACACCAAGAAAGTGTCATTAAGATAAAATACTGTAAATTATGTGGCCAAGAATGTTTCCACCAAAACTGATTACATACTTTGCTGCTACTGGCGATGCAGTAGCCAGTGCTGAGCCCCCAGGGTCTGTACCCTGCCCCAAAGTAACCAGGACAGCCTCCACTTTTCCCTGTCTCACTTGAAGGCAGGGAAAGTGACGCCGACCAAGAATCTGAATTTAGGCTCAAGCAGATTCAAACCTGGGATGGAACAAACTAGGACTTCCTCCGGTTCACCAGGAACCCATACCAAGCGAGCTGGGAAAGCACCAGATCCCTGGCTAGAAGACAAGCAAACTGGCATGAAACCCACACCAGCCAGTCATCGAAGTAGCCCAAAACCCAAACACCTAACAAATAAAGATGGGCCACCATGACCTAAGTTAAATGCATAAAAATATGAGGTGCCAAATACAGCCCAAATGGGAGAACCAAAAAGTGGTAAAACTTTTGCTCCACCACCAAACCTAACCAATCCCTGAACCCGAATGAAAAGGTAATGTGCCAATATGGGTCCTTGAGGTCCAGAGAATTATTATTTAAGTGCTCAGCTTGAGGGCGAGACTGACCTGAGACAATGTAGTTACTCGAAAGGAGTAACTACATGGGGGGGGGGAGAGGGGCAAGAGAAAGGGGCAAGGAAGGAACTGGTTCAATCGGGAAAGATTGAGAATGAACCAGAGGTCTGACAGTCCTACTTTGGGACCGGAAACAGGTGGGGAAACCCACTGAAGATACAAGGTCATTTCACGCTCACGCTCAAAACTAGCCACTTCAAGATGACTCTACAAAGACTAGGAGAGGGGACCTGCCCTGAAAGCCCTGAACCCTTGAAGGAGATGGGACCGACCAACTCCACTGCAGGTCACAAGAATTTACCCTAAAAATGTACAAATCACGGGATGAAGAATTGGGAAAATGAGTGAGACTCCCACCTCCCTCTACCCCGTCAAAGGAACAACCCATGAAAAGATTGGTGCAACCACGAGCGCCAGTTTTCTGAGCAGAGCATGCATGGCGCCAACCAGATGAAGAGGATGAGGCTTTGGAAATTGTATCCGACCCAGCTGCTGACACCACAGAGGACCCACAGAGGTCCTGTGATTGCTGCCTGAAACCTCTGAACTTCAACAGGGGTAATAGGTAAGATGGAGCACACAGAGGAAATATGACCCACATGACTCAGGGTCAAAGGTGGCAGGGACTCAACAGGCAGCATTGTGGAGGTTGAACATACAAATGTCGCAGGTGGTACAGGTGACAAACAACCCTCAAATTCACACAAGGCGAGAGTGGGCTCAGTTATTTTGGTATCCAAAGTACTGTACTGTATAACTGAGCCCCACAGAGGTTTTCCAGTGCCTGCAGGGTGAATGAACCCTGCAGGAAGCCCAGGCACTGGAAATGCTTTGTCAGTATCCCCAGAAGTAATGGGCAACCCTGGCTACTTGAAGCCAATGGAAAGGTCAAAGGAGCAACAAGAGGGTTCAACCACACATATACCCTAGGCAAGCCTTATAAGGCAAAAAAGAAGAATCCCCAAGCACAAAAAGGGCAAAGTAATAAGTGAAAAGCAAAACTGAGAACACAAAAAGCCCAAACCCCCAAGACCAAACTGCAGAGAATCTTTTTAATTTCTTGTGCATTTTTGTGCTGTAATAGAGGTCTTTATAGACAAGCTCCATGAAGGCATAGATTTGCTTGCTTCTTTCCTGGGTGTGAAGGCCTTATTGCCTGCAGTGCTGGTTTCAGTGGCCTTACCCAAGTTGCTCATCCTCATTCTTCGGGAGGTGGTGGCGGCATTTTAATTGGCTTGTCTCACATCTTGGCAGGCAATGGTGGCCCAGTCCTTAGATTCACCTGGTCCTTAACCCCTTTTGTCCATTTCCCCTTTTTGGCTTCTCCTCTTTCCTTAGGTTGCTGTCACTCAGGTCCCTTTGGCTGATGCTACTGCCTGTTGCCCTATTTGTCAGTTGCTGTTTCATTGGAGTTCTGAACCTTCCCCCCCTTCCCCCCCTCCATCCCGTTTCAGAGGCAATCCAGTAGGATTGGGGGGCCTTGTCTTCTGTTGATTGGGGGTAGGCTCTTGTTAGTCAGATTCATAGGCCGTTGCACGTTCTTCTGAGGTTGCCTCTTCTGCTATTTGTCTCCATTTTGTACTGCAGAAGGATGGGGCCGCTTATGGTTCCTTTCTGTTCTTTAACAGGGCTGGCAGGAACCACAAGCTTTAATGATGTCAGAAACCAGCTTTGATAATGCCATGGAGTGCATCTGACATGTTTTACCAGCTCCTGACCCCATGATCTGTGCACCTTCCAGGTTGTCGCCCTCAGTCTTCAGTGGAGTTGATCAGTCCTTTCCCCTCTCCTATGTTTGAGAGTAATATTTCATTGTTATTACCATTGGCAGCCTGTTTATTGGATATCCCATACTCATTACATGAGCAGTAGTGCAAAAAAGGATTACAGGTGGCACTGAAGATTTTATCAGAACTCGGTGGATATCTTATCAGTCACCTTACCAATTACAATAATCTGCACACCTTATAATGATAGCTATGTAGCAAACTCCTCACACTGCAACTTCTATGAATTGCAATATATCGTTATAGACTGGGGTAAGTAACATATATTTTAAATAATTTTCACTATTGGATATTACATGATAAGTGTTGCTGTTCATGATTTTAATCTACACAGCTTATACTTTTATCATATACTGTATGTTTCTTTTTATCTACTTAGAGCAAAATAGGGATACGGTGCAAGAATTTATTTATCTCGAAGAAGATTTATCTCGAACTGGCTCAATTTTGTTCACATTGAAAATGTAATGATGTAGTGTGTCCATGTTGTTGTCCACACACTTTACACTTCATGTCATCTAGATTCCCATAAAAAGTGAATTAAGAGTATGAAGATCCTGAATACTGCAAGCAGGACTATTGTAATTATAGATATTACTCATAAGTGATCAAGGAGTCACAATGCTATTTAACA